TATTCATCCGGCTACGTTGACTTAACACCATGTGACAGATTTGCGCCACTCCTTTAGATGACCTACCTCGACACTAAAGCTGCTTTAGACTGCTGATTTTAGGAAACTATGGCCCTGTTTGACAATAAACAGTGTCTTTTCTAAAATCTTGCTTCTCATGATGGCTCTATGTGCCTCTCCTGGATGATGTGGACGTGTCTATAGCGAGTCCTCTCCTGAGTTTACTATACCCAGTCGTATCAGGCGAGGGAGCCATCACTCGTCCTTTTGCTTCAATTCCGTAATCGACAGGGTGCTTGCTCTTTTTTCACCTGTTCCTGACCTAAAAAACCTAAATAGTCCTGGTTGCAAGACTTAGTGGGTTCAAACTTAACTTTATGGTTGCAGATGAATCCATCGATCTAGTGGATACGTTCCGTCGGGCGATGGACGAAATCACTTCTTGGATCTATAAGACCAGGACACTGCTTACCAACCTCCGGCATACATGTTGCCGACATCGGTTTAGCTGCCAAGGATAGAGTGTTGCACTTTGGTCCGTTGTTACGGACCAGGTACGTAGAAGCTACATCGATTCTTCCGAAGCATTTCGTGGGTATCGTTGAAACCTTAGATCAGTACTGTTGACGCACGCCAAATGGTTCTCAAGATAGCCGACTCAGCCTCGGTGGTTCAACTGGTCACCTTCCATTGGTTACGCTCGTTAGGCTGGGTATATTGTATGCGAGAGGGCTGCTGGCCTCACAGAGATTCTGCCTATTCTTGAATCGGATGGAGGATCTAGAGGAGTTTAGTTAATTACTTGACAATGAAACATGAAAGCCCTTACCAGTCAGGTCAGACGTGTTGGTGACTACCGTCTCCCCTTATGGAGACTGCAGCAGCACTGCCGCTGATTTTCTGTCTACAAGGATTCGACCAATGAGGGAATAGGCTCAACCTAACATGGCTTGACCACTGAGTCATTGCGTGCGGTCATTTTCGCACCGCAATCTCTTTTAACCGGTATGGAATCGATTCAGCTTGTGTGAACCATTGCAGCCACAAGTACTGAAAACTAAAGGAACCCGAAGAGATGTTCTGCGCTTTTAGTGTGCGGAAGGGTCCTTTATGGTTATACCGCTTCAATGGTAGAGCAGTGTTCTAGAACCTCTCCTTAGAGGAGTTGACACTATGAACCACAAACAAACATGTAAGTCTAGGTCTCACCTTGGGTGAAGGATAGGCGGAGAAAGTGCACATGATACGATCCGGATATTCTTCGCGGATCTTACCCATTAGCAATGTGCCAAGACCAGCTCCAGTCCCACCACCCATTGAATGGATCAACTGAAAGCCCTGGATGCATTCGCACATTTCACATTCACGTCGAATCTGTTCCATTATGGGCTCGATCATTTCTGCACCGTCTGTGTAGTGACCTTTGGCCCAATTATTTCCCGCTCCAGCAGAACCCACTACGAAATTTTCTGGTTTAAACAGCTGTCCACAAGGTCCGGCTCGGATGTTGTCGAGACATCCAGGCTCCAGGTCTGCAAGCACGCATCGAGGTACAAAACGTCCGGCTGTAAATGTTCAGGAGTTAAAGGGGTCAGAATACGTTTCTCACACACCTGCCGCCTCAGTGAAGTACACGTAAATTCGTTCCATTTGTAGGTCAGATTCCCCGCGATAAATTCCATCTGCTCCCAATCCATGTTCGTCGGAAATGACCTCCCAAAACTGGACCAGGCAGGAGACAATTCGAGTAATGTTCCACTTACCTTTGCTCCCATCTGGTTACCACACTGGCCGATTTGTATGTAGATTATCTCACGCATACTGGATGTTATTGCCGCTCGTCGAATCGGTTGAAGAGTATGTATGGAATAAATGAGGTTTTCGAACCAGCGTGCTTATCGATCCATATGTATGAGCACGTGTTTACTGTCCAATCACAGTAGATGTGCTTATTCCGTAGCGTGATCAGGTTGATAGAAGGATGTGGGAACCAGAGGGGATGACCACTGACAGACAACTCACATCGCGAAAAGGACAGTGCATCAAGTCTGAGGATAACCGGATTGACTGCATCACACGGCTATTCAGTTAGTCCCTTCAATTGTTGAGTAGATGTAGATAGACCACAAGACGTTTACCTGACACACCCAAACAGTCAGATTCGAAATCAGAATGTGAATCAAATGTATGTTAAACGTTCCCACTGGTGTTATTCTTTGTGGACAGCATCGAGACTCTGCACTTCCGGGTGACAGTCCGTCCTGCAATCTGGGCAGAAACACCAGAAGGCACTGTAAGGCAGGTCAATCCTTTTTTAGAGACATCAGTTCTCGTGAATCGAACCCGCAATCTCCGGGCTATGAGTTAAGTGCAGTGCCATGCAGCCATGACTGATAGGGAGTATTTTTATACAGACGGACGAGATTCAGGGCCAAAGTGATGAAGTTCACGTCACATGTCAGACTGAGCTTCGAGAATACCTCATTGGTCGTTGACGTTGTTTATAAGTGTGCTGCTGGTGATGACTGGCTGGATTCCAAAACGGTTGCACTACCCTCCCTTGGGAAGTCTCCAACTAAATATGTACGTATTCAGACTCTTCATTACGAGGAGATATTACTGTAACAAGTAAATGCCAGGATTCTGAGCGCTATACCGAATTCTTGGATTAAACTTCTCAAGCCATCATGCTGATTGACTGCTGTGTACAGTACGGTGTCCCCTCCAAACGGTTGATTAAAATCCGGGAGTACGGCAATAAGAAAGGCGTAGGATAGTGGATTAGTGGACTGCAAATTGTGGGAATGGGTTGTCTTCTTCGGTTATTTTATTAGTGCACAGGTGATGATAGTCATAATACAAATCAGAAGGTACATGTGCACTAATAGAAGTTTTTAACATGGTTGCGACACGTATAAAAATGAATACAATGCGAAATGGGAGCAAGTCAAAAAGGGACTTATCGTATGTGAGTTCCTTGGTGAAAGTCCGGACGGCGGGAACGTGTTTTTCTCCGCAAATAGACTGCTACACGTACACCATGGTTGTCCGTGGACTTGTGGAGAGGTTGACGTCCTGCTCCCTGCGCGCGCGCGAGTCTGTGTGTCTTGACTGGGTTCGGTTTGCCTTTATGTAGGTCCCAGTGCGTGTATGTGGGCGCGTCGGCACATGAGTGGTTGCTGCGCTGACTAGGCGGTGCAGACAATCGATGTCCGATGTGTCAGCTTAATGCGACGTGTTTGTGCGTATGAGAAAAAGACAAGCCTCGCGATCCAGTGAGCGACTGTGAGTTGAACAGTCAAGTATGTGGGTGACGGGGTCGCTACAATTTCCGCAGTTGCTTGGCCTTAACCTACACCCCGTTCAGCGTTTTGTGGGTTCCTGTGCCGCGTAATCTGGATGGAGGCGGATAAAGAGGAGTTCTTATGTGAGAAGCGATCCCTTACCAGAATAAATCTGCCCGATCTTATTCGGGTTCCGGATATGCTGCACGTTTGTCCATACAGAGCACGGTGAGGGAATCGCTTCCACGTAGTAATTCCGAGGACGGCACTGAGTTTGGCTCAAAATGAGCGACTGTACACCAATCCGATAGGAGTTCCACATGTCGCTCTGTGATTGGCAGTTCTGTCTGAACACTCATCCCTAGTCATTATGTGAACCAATGAGCTCCATCAGCACTTATCATCTGGATTCATTCATTAGGCGAGCGAGTTGATGTTTCAACCATATCAGTGGTGGTTTAGTTATTCGTGGCAGCTCGTGGATGTCATTGGAAAGCAGAATGGCCTCGGAAGTTATTGCTTGTAAACTGTAATTACGGAAGGCACAAGTTGTTAGAAAAAATCTTTCAGACAGTAAGCCTTAAGCATCCCACAACGATGAGTTTCTAATCATTTGGCATAGTGGCATACTGCAACCAGACCGTATCGCCGATGTTATGGACCACGGCCGAAAAAAATATCAGTCATTATTTTCACCAGTGGTTTTATAGGATAGAGATTAAGTATAAAAAACGCGTGGTTTTATAGATAGAGATTAAGTATAAAAACGCACCAGCAGGCTTAGAGTGTGCAGGTTGCACACTCTTGAATGGTATGTTTTATGCGGCTTCTCATCATTATTCACTGAAACCATCTTGAGAGTGACTACCTGGTTGGTGACCTTTCTTGGCACAGGTCGAAATTCTGGAGATGAGTTTAGATAGGACTATGAGCCATCTACCCCACATAAAGCAGTCATCGACAACTTATGGAGAATTCACGCTGATAGCTAAAGCAAGGTCACAACTCAACCATAATTTTGCTGTCAAATGGCCACCTATTCCGGGGGGAATGGTGGCACCAACGTAGTTGCGTGCCTGTGATTCGCTTTTTGCGGCTCGCTCCTTCTGGTTGCAGATAACTCTCCGAAATACAGAAATGAATTATCTGCTGCTCCTGTTAAACTTTTGCAGCGCCTGCATCACTTTGGAGATAGTGTCAAAATCACCGGGCAGCCTGGTTCTCCACAGCTGAATAGTATTGGAATTGAGAACCATGATCCACCGGTCGGGTACACCATCGATTTGTTCTCAGAGGTTTTTTGACCCCTTTGGTGTTCGACTGAGTGGAGTAGCAAGCGCGGTATGAAATTAGCGAGGTTGGTCAACCCACCATACCCAGACCCTTCTACTGCAACAGAGCTGATATTAGCATTTGCAACGAGTGAGCACTGATTTTTCGCGCCCTCGCTTTTTCTGGGACAAGACGGTGCAGATCAGTGACTGAAGCATGCGTTGAAATAAACGGCTGAAATTTTTTTTTACCAAAATTACCAATACGGGACTCTTGCATGCGTAGAATCGTATATATATGGTGCGGATGAAGGAACAGGTGCCGCAAAATCTGGCCCACTGAATGAGGTGCTAAAGACCCCGACTCACATCACCTATATACACTAAGAGTCCACGTTAATTCGTCAAACCAACGAAAAATGGAATGACCTCACACTCATTTTGACTATTATCAACTGCCCATTGTGAATAGCTTCATCCCGCTAGTTTTTGTCAGGCAATATAGTGACTTTTCATGATCAATTGGAATCAATGTTGCTTCCGCGCTGGATCAGGGAAGTCAACCGGTTAACACACCGCTCTTTGGTGAGATTTTCTCCCCTAACAATGGCCAGTACTGGTTAGTCACACGAACTCATCCGTTGTCGTGACCCCTAATAGCTTCTGCGATATTAGAACAGTTAAGTGTTTGGATGCGCATACGTAGTAGCAACACACGCTGTGACCTCCAGGTGTACAACACACCGCCCAGTCACACGACAGCACTCTGCGCTGCAATGAGGTTATAGATGATCGACTAAAGTGCAAATTTGCTGCCGAAAACCGCCCCATGAAATGAGCGTCAGTCACAGCGCACGGCAGATGAAATGATGTTTCCTCCTAAGCCTTAATGTTCGGAATTCAGTTAATAGTTGGAAGAAAATCAGACTCAAAGTTTCCGATTGGTTTGTCGATGAAATGTAGTTTTGATCGGTGTAGCGAGTAGTTATGTAGTCGGTGAGTCTACGTTGGGTGTATCCCGAATACTCCATTTAGCGCTAGCACAAGAGAACCTATAGAATTCGTTCCACTACAACAGACCAGCTGGATTCATTGCAGTGCACTGAATTATATTTTCTTCAAGACAGTTATGCGAGATCACTCTCTGACAAATCAGAAGGCAATTCAATTTTGATACCAAAACTCAAAAGTGGGTCTGATCTATTCGAGCAAACTGAAGCCTTCAAACAACATACTTGAAAATTACACAAAAGGATTTTTCATTTTAGCGAAATACACTTATTTGCAAAGTAATTTGGTTTTGCGAGAGACTCACCTGGAACCCAG